ACAATTGCTTGAGTATAAGATCAAAGAATTTGGAGAAGAAAAGCTTCTTCAAAAACATACAAACAAGAAGCCCTGCAAGCTTGGTACTCCTTTACAATCCTGTAAGAAGGGAGAAGGTGTAAGGAAGAGCCACCAAAAGATATCAGCTGTCTCTCAGTGAAACATACATTTGGTCTGTAAACTGGAGCTCAGCACAGTTCTGCAACCTGCACTGATATCCCCACTGAAGCAGCCCAACAGCTTTCTTCTCTCCCAATGCACAGGCTTCAGTGCAGATGATGGACTCACTACAGGAGTTTTAATAGTTGCAATACTATTCTCAAATCCGACAACAGAGACTCCCTCAATAAAAACCTCTCTCTTCTCTGCAAGACCAAATCTCAAGTCAGTTCTCCCAAGTCAGCCAACATGATGGCTAGATGCAAAAAAATGCACCTAATACTTTTTAGTTTTTTCAATTAATTTTCAGGTAGCCCATGAGATGAGTGACAAGATGAACTTCACAGACAAAACATTTTCCACCACAGAAGAGGATATGATCAGCTTTGGCCTATGTAATTTGGGGACACTTTATAAGAATTTGGTAAAATAAACTTAAGAGAATAAACTTAGTTGATCAGAATGCTGACATCTCGTAATGAACGTGCATTCTCTGGAACAGAAGTTTCAACATCTTTTGCTGGTCCTACTGAAAAATAAGTATTTTTAACATCTCCCACCATTTCAACAAACTAATTTAAGGAGATAGCTTTTAACCCTGCATCGATGTGAAGCACTTTTTCAGTGAATTAAACTTCTGAATCACTTGGGCACAGGACAAATGCAAATCCAGCATTCTAGCCAGGTATAGTTACTTTTGGTGAACGGCCTCTTCTTCTTTCCTCTGAGTCCGCCTGAAGCTTTTCAATTAACGGAATAGCAAAAGAGAAAGTCTTCCCTGTTCCAGTTCGTGCTTGAGCAATTACATCTTGGCCAGAATATACCGGGTGGAAGGTCTTCACTTGCACAGGAAACAGGTATGTCACTCCTCGAGCTGCAACAATTAGAATAGACTGCTTTAATATAACCTCAAAGGAGGTCATCCCAAACATCCACCAAACAAGTCTAGAACAAGTCAGGACTGCATCTTCACCTCCCCTGATTTATTTAATCACAGAGGATTGATTTAATCCTGACAGAACCTTGGGCTGCCTGCCTCACTCTTCTACTTCATAGCACCAGAGACAGAGTGTCATGGTTTTGTGATTTTTGGTTTTCAGTATTCTACATCATAACATCATGTGGGACACTGGGAGTTTAACTGTTAATGCTCAAGCTCTGGGTACCTGCCTGGAAGAGAAGAAGAACTACATTCCCCAGGGGACTTTGCAGTCACAAAGAGGAGATACAACTCCTGGCAAGGTTACCTGATGGGCTCTTCTTCGTCGACTCTCCTCCCATCTCCCTGCTGCTCAACCGGCCTGTGCATCTCACCTCAGTGTTGTGGTGAGGCCTATCCACCTTTCGGACATTCTCTCTCTCATTATATTTGATTTATTAGCTTCAATTCTAATTATATTGTATTAGAGTGTGTTATCTTGCATCCCGATACAATATTTAGTAAATTAGTTTGTTTCTCCTCAGATCGTTGCCGCTGTTTTTAATTGTTTTGGATCCCCTGTTCCCTTTTTCTGGAGGCGCAGATTATGTGAAATCCCTCCGCCCCGCTGGTCACGGAACAGGACCGAACCAGCCCATAACCAGTTGACACAGGGACAGATGAAATTACTAGCCATTAATGAAAACTTCTAAATACCCTGACTGTATTTATGTAGTGCTCCCCATTTAGCTAAGAAAAACTTTTACTTTCATATAAAATGTCAAAATGACTTCATCTCTCAATTTTACATTAAGTCATTCACACACTAATGTCAGAGATGCTAAATATAACTGGTTTTCCTTTACACGCCATGAAATAACTTTGAACTGAAAATTTCTCACACCATTTTTTGAGATATCTTTCATTTGAAGTCCTACTGTAAAGCCTGAGCTGGGCAAATCACATCATGAAAAGAAATTTACCTTGAAGAAGCTGAATGGTCCCTTTTGAGATAGGGAAATTGGAGAAAGCACCCTCTTTCTGCTCTTCTGTCATCTCCTGTTAAGTAAATAATAATTCATAAAATGTTTCCTGTGAATATCATATGTGATGATCAGAAAACATAGGATAACAGCATACACACTGGTGTCTGAGCCAAAGGTCACACTTTCAGTAACAACATCATAGCTGTAGCTGAAGAACCTTCTTTGTTTTACTTACTATTGTATTTCAAAATTAGACAGAAGCAACCTGTAATTTAAATGAAGGCTTTGCTTTAAATACAATGGCATAATAATGCAAGACATCCAAACACAACCTCCAAAAATTCTCAAGTTTTAAGATTATATTTTAAACAATTACTGACAGGCAACAAGAGTATGTTGTAATGGGCAAAAAACAAGCCTGATACCCAGCTAACCACCTACTGCCCAACTTGTACAGCACAGTCATTTCCAGACAGAAACTGATTCCTAGGAGCAACAAAACAAGGCAGACCAGCAAATCTTCCTAGTGCCTCACTTCAATATATGTTTTAGCAGGTAGAATTAAAGTCTGAAAAAATAAAAACATTACTATAAGAGGGTTTGAAAACACTGAACTGTTACAGTGATATATTTTATTACACTAAGGTAGATCTTATCACATTAAGAGCTACCAATTTATTAGATCACACATTAAAAAAAAAAAAAAGTGTTATGTTTCTCTCTCCACTAACTATAATAATAATAATAAAAAAAATTTACCACAGCAGAACTCATTTTGGCAAGAAGCCAATTAAAACATATCTCTAGTGATCACAGCCACTGCCATTAAATCACATCCAGATGCCCTCTGCGTGCAGCCTGAAGGCAGCAACCAGCAGCTCCAATGGCACTGGCACTGTTGACGTGAGGAAACCAAGGGCGCTGATCTAGAACGCCAGGGCTCTCACAATTCCAACTGCTTGCAAACAATGCCAGCAAGCACAACCAAGCAGCTTTCAGTATGGAAAATCAGGGCAGTCTTCCCATTGGTTGTGAGGGAAAAGTACACACGAATAAATGAAGATAACCTGCTCTAAACGTAGGCTGACTATAACACAGGTGCTGAAAGCTCCCCTTGTCACCACTCTACACCAGGTACCACCATTACCTGCTCCTGGTCACTGTCCCCATCCCCGCTGGACGTTTCACTGGAGTTGCTGTGCTGTTTCTTGTGGGGGGATTTGGCACTGACTGAAGACAGCCTGGAGTTCTCTGGGCTCTCCTCCCTCACGTGCCCATTTTGCTTCCCTCCGTTCTTTGCTTTCTTGAGCTTTGGCGAGTCGCTCTCCTCTTCCGACTGCTCGCTTTCATCCGTCTGAGCTTTCCTCTTCCGAGCCTTATCGTGCCGCTTGGATTTCTTCTCTTTCTTCTCCTTCTGGCGAGCCAAAAGCAACAAGGCCGTCAGAGAGACGCGCACACGTGCGTCCCCAGCCGCTCTGAGGCGGGCCGGGCGCCTCCCGCCATCAGGACAGCCGAGCCCACGCCGTAGGGCTCGGCCACCACCTCAGCCCCCACCCGAGGACACCCACCCGGCCAGCCGCCGCACCGGGCCAACCCCGCGTGCCCGGCCCGACACGAGGCCTCCAGGAGGCCACGCACGTGGCCGGCCCGGCCGGCTACTCCGCGGCACATTCCCGGCCCGGCCCGAGCTCCGCCGGAGGGACGCGGCCCCGGGCAGCCCCCGCCGCGCGGGGAGGCGGAAGCGCGACAGCCGGCACGCGGGAGGAGCGGCACAAGCGGGCCGGAGTCGGCCTCGGCAGGCTTCGGAACCCTCCCCGGTACCTTGCGCCGCCGCCGACTGCCGTCTGGTGCGGCCTCGCTTTCCATAGGGCTCTCGGGCTCCGACTCGGCCCCGCTGCCGGCGCGGATCCGCGTAGCCTCAGGCATCGCCGCTCGCCGGCCACCACGCCGCAACCGCGCCGTGACAGGAACAGACCCCACCCCGGAAACCGGTGCCGATCCCGGCGAACTGCTGCTGTCCCGCAGCCAATGGGAGGCCGCCCCTCGGCCGGACTACAAATCCCGACGCGCCCCGGGGTCCCCGCTCGGGCCGGACTACAAGTCCCAGCGTGCCCCGCGCGCGGCCCGGCCGCGAGCCTCCCGCCACGACGGCGCGGCCGTGCTTCCCTCGGGCGGGATGGTTTGGCGCCGTGCCGCGCAGCCGCGCTTGTGTAAAGCACTGGTGTGAGGGCAGAGAAAGAAGGCGGGAATAAGGCATCAAAATGATCCGTCGGGCGGCAGGGCGCGCTCTCCCTCCGTGAAAGAAGCCGGGGGCGCGCGGCTGGGCGCCTTCCCTCACACTGCAGAGCTTGTCAGCTCACGGCTGCCCCCACGCGGCCGGCGGCGAAGGACGCGGCGGGTGAACAGGCGCGTGCCGATCCGGCGGCTCTGCGTCGTTTTCTGTCAGGAGGCGCAGAGCCCGTCGTGGCTCCAGAAGGAAACGCCTTCAGGAATTTTCAGGTCAAATACAGTTGTGTGCTCTCCCCCAGCCCGCCCCGAGTGCACCGTGTCAGCCCTCTCTTTTATTGGACGAGGAGGTGCAAAAACAAACAAACAAACACACACCCACGTTTCTGCTATTGATATCTCCAAAACGTTAACAAAAGGCTTATATTTACAGGCATCACCCCCAGACATCAGCAAGTGCAGTTACAGTATGCTTGCGCTGTTAGAAATAAAAAGTTGACACCTCATTAAAAACTTAGCAAGCCTTCCTGGCTAGAATTAGCTGAAACAAGGAACTTTCTGTCACTGCCCTTCCACTCTGTTCTCTATACATTGCTACTGCTGCTGTCAGAGTTTGGCAGGAAGCTTCATCTTCTTTTCAGTCCATCTAAAAGAACAATTATTAGATGTCAGACTTCACGGTCTAAAAACAAAGCTGTGCTGGCTTGGCTTCTGCTACCTCGGGTGGCGTCAATACCACCAGACTGACCGACGGGCTCCAAGGGGCCGCGTCCAAGGAATACAGGAGAACTGTGCCAAAAAGCTGCTTAAGGGAAAAACAAAACAACCAGAACCCCACTCCATCAGCATTTCCTTAAAAACGGTAAGATCTGATTTGCTTCTGTATATATAAGCTGTTCAAGGTGATGATATGTACCAAATGAGGATCTGAGTGATTTAATTGCACTTAAGCACCAGTTATTTAAGGCCTTAAGAACACAGAATGCTATCAGAAATTGATGTAATTTTCCCCCACACAGCATTTTAACTTAGGTTCTTGCCAATTAGGTTAACAGCTGTGTAAGTCTTACCCATGTGCAACTATGTAAAATTTGTTTAATATCAATTTGTTTTCCATTAAGAAACTTCCAAAAAATCTTTTCAAAAAAGTACATAGTTACAGGCTACAGGTACCCGACAAAGCGAGCCTCTCCTTCAAGGTGGTGTGCACATTCTCCTGTCTGTTGTGAGCAAGATGGATATTTTGTACTTTAAGTATTACAAAGATTGGACATCTTTATAAAACACATTTTATTCTTCACCTACAACCAGGGTAACTATGACAATATCTATAATGGCATATGGCAAGCTGGATAGTCTTGCTAACAAAACACGTTGAGTTTATCCATGTTCCTGAGCATTTCTGCATCTCCATTTTGTACTATGAGTGTAAATGCAAAATACAAACAGTAGCATATGCATAGCAGGTTTAGGCAGAAAGTTTATGGAATATGACATGGAAGCACTATAAATGTTGAGTATTTCTGGGTCATAAGTAAAAGATAATACCAGTTTTGCTGCTGGGGATATACAGCAAAAGGTCTACACAAATACGATTGTTGTTAATTAGATTATGACTATGTTACATGTGTTTTCTTACCTTGGGGAGTCAATTCCACTGTCTCCTGTAATGCTGTGGTTTTCTACCCCTTCTGTGTGATTCTGTCCTGATATCACAGTGTATTTATTCTTTAAAATGAGACCGGTTTTTCCTGGGGGGATTCTTGTTTCTTTGGCTTGTGGGCCCAGACTGTGGCATGCCACTACTTCTGCCATCTCACAGGTGCGGTTCTGCAAAGCGTCAGCCTCATTAGTGTCACAGAAATCTACAGCTGAAGCCTTCATGCATTCAGTAAAGCTGGTTTCTTCCTCCTTTCTGGATACCACTGGAAGAACCTGGCTGCACAAACAACTTTCTTCTGCGAGGTCTGGCTTTTGATGCTTTCTTGAGCCACAAATTGATTCTGCAAAATCAGCACTTCCTTTATATCCATACCCTCCAGATTCATGTCTATTTACAGTTGTATTATATCGGTTTGGATAAATATTAAGCTTAGAGATTTTTAGAGTAGTCCCTACCTTTTGCACAGCTTTACTCCAGTCTCTTGTGACTGAAAATGCATGGCAAGAAAGCAATTGATGTGGTTCTTTGCATTCAAACTTGTCATCCAGATGCAACAAACTACACTTGTCACAATCATGTACTTTCTGGTTCTGAAGATGGCATTTGTTGTTAAATCTATCACTTTCCAACTTCATTGATGCAGGACAGTTGGTACAGTCATATTTAAATACAAGTTCATTCTTTTTATCAGTCTTTTGTCTGTATGTCACACTAAATTCTTTTTCCCTTGTAACACTGGTTGTATAATTTGAGAGATGGACGTTTTGAAATTCATTTGCTGCTTGGTCCAACAACTCACATTCAGCATCAGCCTTGTACCTGCAACATTCACCTTTCAGATGTAGTAAATGTTTTGCTTTTTCTTTACGCACACTTTTATCTTCAGTGTAGAAGTCTGGGGATTTTTTAATATCTCCAGGATTTCTTTTCACAGTTCCTCTGTAGACATTGTCTTCAGAAACATTACTCTCCAGAAAGTATTTATGTTTATCATCTATTCGCAAAGTACTGCTGTGCAGATAACTAACATTGTCACTTAAACTGTTTTTCTTTAATTGAAAAGAAAACCTATGAGCTTGGGGTAATTTGTTTTGCTTAGTGTTGTCAGCCTGCATTTCAGCAAGCAGTTGTTCAGCTTCATATTCAGAAGCTCTGGGTGAGTCCAAAGACTTTGTAAACCTTTGTAAATCCCTTTCCTGCTTTCGTCTCCTGGACTTCCGCTGGCTGTTAATACGACCCTTGTGTGCTTTTGCATAAAAGCTGTGTCTCCATGAGAGACCCTGAAAAGGATTCTTAATTTGCTTTTTATATATGACCTGGGATTCCACCGCTGCATCCAGCGGCTGTTGGCTTGTGACAAGCAGTGAAATGTTCTCTTCCAGCTTCTCACTTTGGGGTGTTGGCTCGTGCACATGAGATTTCCTGTTGTTTCTGCTGATTTGCTTCTCTTTGTTTGGCTTTGTTTTCCTTTTGTGTTTTGATGTTCTAATTTGTGTCTTTTGAACACACTCCTTTGAAAGACACTTTTGCCTTAGTGTTAACACTTCAGCCGAGGTATCCTTAGTAGTATTTTTTTTCCTCTCCTCAAAATTTTGCATTAATCTTGTGTGTTTAATCAAATTATCAACGGTAAGAGTAGGGTTAATACACCTGATGATTTCATGTTCAACATCACGTGGAATATTATCTAAGTCATCTTCATCTCTGACTGGCCACTCCCTGGGGGGAAACTGGGCTGAAAATGTAGAGTACTCCTTATGTTTTTCTTTTTTAGAAGTACTTCTCCAGAAAAGGCCAATGCCAAATCTTCTGCATTTCAGTTTCTCTTTCACTGATGTCAGGGTTTTCATAGTGTTCCAGGAATGGTTTTCAGCTGATGAAGAGATGACCTGAGTTTGAATCAAAGGCTCCCCTTCACTGCAGCCTTTCTTGCCTCCTCCCATTGGTTCCTGGTTCATTAGCTGCTCAAGTCTTTGTTCACAGAGCATATTCTGGCCAGGGAGACAACGGGATACTGTAGCAATGTTTTCTTTCACTGGGTCTGCACAGCTTTCCCAGTTTGCCTGGTAAGCGTCCTCACTGTCTGTCCGCCAGACCCTGTTACTGTATTCTGCAGCATCATTTGTGACAAAGTAGGTGTTGGGGGTAACGATGAAATATCCCTCTCCTGTGTGATAGATCTTCCTTTCTTTAATTAGAGTGCCAAGGATGTTGTATAAGATTTTCTGGGAGGGAACTGCAATGCCTACAAGAAAGGTACACATATTTCAAATTAGAAAAGATTTTTCAAATAAAATGAGAACTGGTCAAAAAATAGCTTACAACAGATCTGGGAGTGAGTCAACATGAAGCGCCCAGTGTAATTCATTTGCAGGATTCAGAAAGAAGTTTGAAATTAATGTGGCAACTGAAGTGCGAATAGGAAATGCTCAATTTCAACATGAAAGTGTCAAATGCCTCAGGACAAATAGCAGGACTGTTCTTTAATACACCACCAGAGCCAGCAACAGTGCTAGCAGCCAGCTGTCTGCCGCCCACTGGCCTGAGGCTCCCTTAAGATGGCAGTGACTGCCCCAAAATCTGGCTGAGGACAGCAGACTGCAGCCCTGAGTCAAGGAGAACCCCCCTGGGCTCGCCAGGTGAGGGCAGCACGGAAACATCATTGGGCCCACAAGAATGAAGACTCCCAAAACAAGGAGAAAACAGCAAGAAAAACATTCTCTCCTTCTGTAAACATGGAGTGCTCCTTCCAGCTGAGCTGTAAGTGGTACCGTGTGGAATCTCAGTTCACATACAGGCTACACATTGCTGGCAGCTTTCAGAACAAGTTGATGGGGTTGCATTAAAATTTTTCCCAGTAATGGGAAAGCTTACCTATAACAATTGCAGAGCTCTATGAGATTACAGTGATTCAAAAGAGAAAGCTTAGAATGAAACCAAACAACCTCCTGCAAAGGGCTATAATGAGCTTCTACAGAGTCACACATATACACTCCCACACCCCACTTCAATAACCTGAGAGAAATTGAATGTTTTTCACACTGAAGGAAAATGCAATATTGGATGGAAGTGTCTGCTGTCCCATCATTAAAGGAGGATTTGGTGTAATAAACTTGCTTTCAAGAAAGGAGGAGCTGGACCAACAAACCTGATTTTGAGACCACTTGCATTTGTAACAGCAGATGCTGGTTGTAGCTCCCCTGCTGCAAACTCCTTTGCCACCAAAGTCAAATGTGTTTCTGCTTCTTAAAGAGAACTCCAAGTCTTACTGATATGACAAACAGTCTGTTCTGTGCTTTTCCAGACCTGTTCCCTGAATACCTCATGTATTCTTTCCCACTCTAGAGAAGGAGCATACTCTCAGCACACTGCTGCTCCCAGTTCCCTTATTAATCCTCATACTGAAAGGAATGTTACTGTTGCTTTCAGATTGATAAGGACTGTATACATATTCAAGTATTCTCTCATCTGCCTGCTAATATTCTTATGCATTGCTCATCCAATATCAATAGATACCCAAGGTTGATGACAAAGTCATTTTTAAGAGGAAAGAGAAACAAACACATTACCTGGATACCTTTTCACTAACTGCTCCACTAAAGTTTTCTGTGTGACCATCGTTTGATCTGCATTCATGTCTGATATGGTACAGCAGATTCCTTTTACCAGAGAAATAGACTGTGATAGTGAGCACGGATTCATCAGAGCAGGGAGTGTACCACCTGTACTCCAGAAGGAACAAAAAAAGAAGAAAACAAGAAGTTTGAATGGAATAGTATTTCATTTTTCTATTAGCCATAGCTAATTTTCAATTAGTTTTCTTTTGTTGCTTCAAAACCAGCACCTTACTCTCAATTACTTTTCATTTGCAAAGCACTCAAAGATTTATCGGGGAAGACAAGTGGCTCTAAATACTGAAGGTGTTTTTGTAACAATGGAGGCAGAAGGCTACTTCAAGCACAGTTTGTTTGGTATTAAAGTCTAGCTTAAGCCTTAACTTAGCTCAGTAATCAGGTAGTCAAGAAAGAGAAGTGCAACTGATAACTGCTGATTTCTTTATGACTGTTTATGTATGAAGCCATACAGAATATATAGTTCTCAGAGTAACTAATGAAAAACATCCACATCCAAGTCAAATGTGAATGATGTAGGAAAACCTGAAATTAATACTTTCCCTGAAAGCTGATGACAAAGCACAAAGCAGGAACTTACCTGAGGTCTGTGTGTGCATTACAACAGGACAACATATACCTTCTCAGATGAGAAAAAAACAGGTTTTTTTCTGTTCCCTACACCTGGTGGTATTTTGCAGTCTCTTCCCTGTTCTCTGTTGCAGGAAAAGCTCCAGCTATCCTCAGCACCAGCTGGTTCCTTCATGAGGCAAAAGCTGGAGTTAAATGCTAACTGTAATTTTCCTGCAAGTGAGAGGTGACATCTGAGATTGAGTGACATTCAGGTTTGACTGAGCTGCAATTGGATAGTCTGGTGGCTGACTCAGGAACCTGATATTTAGCCTTTCAGCAGAAAACGACAACACAAACATTTCTTTCAGTAATGAGGTAAGCTATTGCATTTGGGAAAGCTCAAATTGCTCTTGACCTTTGTTTTCCAACTGCAGTTACTTTCAACAAAAAGCATTAAAAAAAAAAAAAAGTCCTGGCACACGGTTTCCCCGGTGATGTTGCTAGGATACCCTTTGCAGGTGCAGGAACCATTGCAATCTTTCTTTTTGTATGGGAAAAACCCATCAGCATTCACTAATAACTCTTGAGAACAATTTGCTGTCTCAGCTCTCTGCTGTAGGCACAGTGTTGCAGCCAGTTTTACCATTTGTTCCTGTAGAGCCAGGGAGTAAAACACCAAATGTAATTGGAATGTATTATCTTTATTCATATTAATTATCTTCCATCACTCTCTGTGTCTGTCTCCCAGCCTCAAATCCCACGTCTTCTTTAAGGGAGGGCTCTTTCAAGGTAGCATTTAAGAAAAGTAGTAAGCAAAAACCAGCCTGATACTGAAGGAAAATAAGTATATATTGAAATCGCATTTTTCACAGTGCAAACTTAGTTAAAATGTCCAGCGGAGATTAATAGTGCTAACAATAGGAATATTAAACATCATTCCCTCCTGACTTTGAAATAGAAGCTAGAATTGTATTTACCAACTCCTATCTAGGCAGTCTGCCAGCAGTCATGTATTACTATCTTTCACTTTGGTTTGCCAGTCTATTCAAACTCTGCTCATTACCTGGGCATTCAAAACCCAAGAGTACCCTTTTGAGCCCATATCCATCACAGTGTGGGCAAGTCGTCTGTAACATGAGCACTGGTATACAGGAAAAGCCTCAGAACTCAGTGCACAGGAAAGCCTCTGGTTGTTCTTGACTAACACAAAGTGAGTTTTTTTTCTGTCCTGACTGTAACATGAACTCTACCACTTTTCATTAAGCTGTTTAATAATTGCAGATTTTTTTGCATCTCCAGCCTCTAAGAAAAATGAAATGCAAGTTGTTTCTCATGCAAGTCTTGAGAAAGTAAAGAAAGACACAATTTATTGCACCAGAGCTCAAGTTAGCTCTTAAATATTGAGACAAACAATTTCATAACCATAAAGGGTTAACAGCACATAATTCTAGGGAAAAAAATAAATACAAATCAGGAATAATCTCTACTATATGATTCCACTTCCACTGAGACAGAATAGACACAATAACAAGTACAGCTAGAAATTCTGTTCTGTAGTCAGAGAAGTCTATCTAGGAGTGTGAAGCCGAGCATAAAGGGAAGTATTCTAGTGAGGAAATATTGGTGGTAGGTGGACAGTTGGACTGGATGATTTTGGAGTCTTTTCCAACCTTGGTAATTCTATGATTCTATGATAATGATCCCACTGATCCTATTCCTTCCTGCAGGAGAGCCCTATTGTGTTTGATTCACTTCACTTTCTGCAGAAATGCATGAGGAAAGCTAGCAGCAAGTACAGTTCTGTCACAAACTGAAAGGCTTCTTCTTTTCTATAGACTCAAGTGCATCCTGGCCACATTTTATAGTAAACATCACGTTTCATAATTAATGACTAGGGATGATTTTAAGCAGGAAAAAATAGGAACACAGAAAGTTGAAGAAATTTTGCAATATTACTTTTTGAACATTAATGGAGATTTTCAAGGCCTTATTAAAAGAAAAAAAATTCTCTGTTTATTGTTAAAAAACAGAGGCAAGATTGGTAGAACATTTTCAATTACTTTAATCTCAGTGCTTAATAAGCCACTCATAGCCATCACAGGTAGATATGGTGAACACAAAGCAGGATTAAAAGAGAAGGGAAAGAAATAAAGGCTTTTGAGATCAATCAAGCTCCTTCCTGAAACCTGTGGTTTGATACTCCAAGTAGGAACAAGTTACACAGCAGTCAGAAACACGTTCACTTTACTACAATTTTCCTTAGACCAAGCTTATTGGGAAAGAGTTTTTGCCACTGAAATGTGCAACTAGCCTTCTTGCTGAGGCCACTGGCATATTCACTTTGCTCCAAGAATATCTTGAGAGCAGATTTCAAGCTCCAAAGGCACTAACTCAAACAAAAGCAAGCATACAGCTTCATACAGACTGTTGAAAAGAGAAGAGCACTTTTGCTAGTTGAAGATTAGCAGGCAAACTGTTCAATGCTTAGAGATCTGTTTTATCTACAACAACTAGCAAAATAGCCAACTAACAAAACCATATAAGCACATCTGCCTTTGGGGCACTCTTCATAGCATAACTGGCAAAGCAACAGCACTCAAGACGATGTTTTTATTATACCTTAACAAGCCTACAGTTTTTCAGTCAAATCAGATGTAGCACTGGATACTTCCAGCACAGCTCAGAGCAAGGAAAATCACCCTTAACTGATACAGCATTCATTTTCTGGCACAAAAAATTCCAGATTGATTCAAAAGCTTCACTGCAGGGAGATAAAAATGACATAAAATGACGTGGTCTCAGTAAAGTTGCAAAAACCACGCAACCAGCCCAGGGAGGCAAACAGTAGAAGTCATTATCAGCAGCAATGTTTCTGGCTCCTGTAACTGCCTGCGGGTGCTGCCATCCAGTGCTACAGGATTTTAACACAAGCACATCTTTTCCACTTGGCTTGGTCCAAAAAGTCCCTTTGCAGTCCTGGGATTTCTTCACTAAAACTACTCTGCCTTTGCTTTGCTCCCAGCCCCACCCCCTTCTGCAATAAATCTCAAACCATCCAGGTAACTCGGTAATGTCAAAATGTTTGTCCTGTGTGGAAGGTGTTACTGGCTGCTGGTTAGACACTGTAGATCCATATAGTGAAAGAATTGCTATACAACCTCCACCATGCAGTTGCACATTCCTGTGCATTCAGCTAAAGGTCAGCTCTAACTGCTGTAATATTCCTGAAGTTTACTGCTTTGCCTGGAAACGTGCTGCCACATAAAAGGCAGTCACAAAAGAAGCACACAACTTAAGGCTACAATCACAGGAGTAAGATATAACTGCACTTGTGTCCTCCTTCCCAGAATGGACCAAAATTCACTTTGCATTTCTCCGTGGCTTCAGCTCACATTTGTCCCAGCCCAGGGGTAAACACATTGGTCTCTTAGAGAAACAGCACCCACAGTTATTCAAAAGAGAACATAGCCCCAACATAGGCTTGTTTTAGGAAAGCAAGATAAAATTCAGAGGTTTACTTTCAATTTGAAGCAGAACATAAGCATTTCAGCTTGCAAACAGATTGAGTTTACTAAAAAAGTGGCAGTTGCTTTTTCAATTGTGTCATTGTCCAGAAAGCTTTCTGCTTCAGTACCAATCAGGTTGCTTACTGAGTAGCTGGAAGCTGCCAGCAAATGGACTGTGGATCACCGCAGATATATCAATGCAAGATAAAGCAGACTAGGAAAAAAAATGTCATGCATTATTCCCAGGGGCTTCACTGAATTCTCACTTAGCTGTAAACCTACTGTGTAAGTCACAGCAATGATATGCAGTACTAGCTTTTCTACTTAAGTTCGTTCAGGAGTGATGTGGCAGCAATGAAGCATCCTGGGCTGAATTAACAGGATCAGAGCTAGCAGACAAGAGGAAGTGATTATTCACCTACCCTTACTGCTTGCTATACCACATCTTGCATAGTAAGCCTGGTTTTGGGTCTATCAGTATTGAAAAGGCATCTGTATGTGGGGTTGAGTTCAGCAGCTGGCCACCAGAATGATCAGAGCTGAAACACTCTGAGAAGGAGCTGACAGAATGGGGCTTGTTCAACATGGAGAAGAGGTGGTTTAGGGGAGACGTGACAGCAGCCCCTTAAGAAGATGGAGCTGGTCCCTGCACAGTGGTATATGACGGGAAGACAAAAGACAACAAGCATCAGCTGGAACAGGAGAGCTTCAGCCTGGCTGTAAGGAAAATCTTTTTACCCTTCAGGACAGCCTAGCAGTGGAGAGCAGGCTGCCCGGAGAAGTTCTGCTGTTTCCAGTTCCGAGGAGTTTACAAGATGTAACAATAAAGCCCTGAGCAATCTGGTCCAACCCTACTGCTGACCCCACTCGGAGCAGGACACAGGACAGACTCACAGGAGCAAGTTCATCTGACTTATCTGGACAGCGGTGCCTGTGCCTCTCACAGCCATCCTCATCAGCCTCTTCATCCACCCTGTTTTCTGCAAGCCACTGCAACAGTGCTTCTGACCTCGGCTTGCTGTGAAATTTTCTTGAGTTACATGAGATTAAAGAGCAGTGATGGCCACTTTCACATCATGTTGTAAATGAGGCCATGCAAACAGCATTT